AATATGCACTCTTTGACAAGAATCTTAATTTCATGAGCAGATATGATCAATTGAGAAAAATTGTCAAAGGTGTGTGTTTATAAACAGTAGTTCAAACTTTGCTAACCAGACACTTCTCTGTGGCTGAATAGTTAGCAGTGCATCAGACCAAATGATGGTTTTCATTAGAGTTACAGATTCGATTTCTGTCAGAGACTGCATATTTTCTACAAAATTTCTCAAACATTCAGGCCAGTAAATGTAATACTGTTTAATTAAAAACAGAGCATTTACTTAAATAAATTATATCTAAAAAATTAATGTATAAACAGAAAATGTTCCCCAAATTGTGGAGACAAATGAAACTCTTCTTTACTGTATTTAGTGCTTTTAATGCAATCCTGCAGTCCTTATTCTCATAATCCTGCACTTTCATTCATATCACTCATTTTATTCATGCTAACCATTTCAACAGTGCTTTTTACTTTGAGTGGCTCTTGAGCCTTATATTAGGTGGACCCTTATTATAAAAACAAAATGTTTCACTTCTATTCTTCAGTTCTTATCAGATATATTTTGTGAGGAAAAAAAGAAACATCATTCTTCAAGTAAAAAAAACAACAATGGAAAAATTTTTCTCAATATACTAATCAGACAAATCCATTTGCACAACACCAGGTATACCAAGATGATTCCAAAATATACCTGGGAAAGTTCCAAAACACCCACATTGCTAATACCCTTCCCACACAAAAAAAACAAAAAAAACAAAAACACACCTAGTTTATACACGTAACTGGCAAAGCTGATAGATGCTGCCTGTCTCACTTCCTAATCATGTTACATTTGTATCCTTTTCTTCCTTGAAGAAAGAAGTTCCATGTTTTTTAATCATAGAATTTTCTGACAAGGGCTGAAGAATAAATTGGCAGAAATGTGTTAACAATAGCAAATACATGAAGAATGGATTGAATTGTACAGACAGTTTGGTGTTAATTACAGAATGATTAACAATGTTAGTCAGGTGAAAATGCTGATCTTTTGAATTGACAGGTAATAGCCAAAATAATTTCCAAATATCAATTCAGTGTCTGATGGGTTTTTTAAATTTTAATCAGTTGTTTGTAAATATATAAGATTTGTACCAAACCAGAATTTTATGAAAAATAAAGCATAAAAACTTAAATTCTTTCAATGGTAAACAAATCTGGAATAAAAAGAAAATGTATTGATAAGAATAATAATCACAAGGAATTTAATGATTACGGGTTTTAAAAATTTCTTGTAGGTTTCTTTTTTTCTATTTACATTGTCTTATTTGTTCTTGATTTATTTATCTTTTGTCTTATTTAATTCATGGGTTGTTTAATATGTGGAGTAAGCGGAAGTTAAGTGTTTTAAATCAAAATATCAAATGACAAAACTAAACAAACCATACAAAAGCTTGGTGCAGCATTCCGGTTTCTAACATATTTCAAATTAATAAAAATAAAGAATAGCCAATAAAATCAGCTCCTGCCAATAAATAAACATAGGCTTCTGAAGCCATATAAACCAAACATCCATTCAACTCATTAGAAAGACTTACAGCAGTAAAGAGACGTGAGTCAACCTAATTGTCTTGTCTTTCTCACCAAAACAACAACTGGCTGCCTTTAATTTTTCTCCCAGTTTCATTTTCTCTTACTGAAAAACCATGTTCATTTCTTTTTCAGTCAGAGAGAAGAACTTTCTAAATACAAACTTTTATTTCATGATAGTAGTTACATTTAAGAATTTTTGTAATTTATGTTAAATAAATAGTTATTCCATTTGAAGTTGCAGCAGTCCTTTCCCTCATTTTTTATTCAACAGTGAATCATGGAATCTTTCCCCAACAAAATCTACAACCATTTATAAGGAGCATGGACTGGAAATTTCTTTTATTTTGAATCTAAACTGCTTACATAATGATCATAGAATAAAAAATCAGTAAACTAATCAAAAATAAATAAAGGAAATGTTCCATTTAAGAAATTCCAACAACATCACATTTGCTGCATTGTTTTAATAACATCTGATTTATTTCTCAAGAGTTATCAAAGATTGCAAAAGGTTTCCAAAATATATGTTTTAACAATAAATTATCCATTGAAATTACAAGTTTTTATTCTTTTTAATTCAACTTCACCAGTGAAATCAAGTGTTTTTACAATTACGACATCTGATTCTCTTCAGTTGTTAAAATGCGAGAATAAATTTAATAAAAGCTATAAAGAAACCTGAAAAAAATAATTTCATTGTTTTTTAAGATTTCTGTTATATTCTGCGCTAATAGGAATATATACTTGAAAAACAAGGTAGATAAAATAAGTAAAGGTTTATTGTAACAAACCAGTATAATAAGAATAAAGGTAACAGTTATGCACAAGGTTGTCACAAGGCAATCCAGTAGTGAGTGCTACTATTGGAGGGTTGGTAGTTTTCACATAAGTCTGAGTCATACTCAACAAATCCCAGCTAGTATATTTAGTTCCCCACCCCATGAGGGTTGCATGTGGCACAAGGCCGGTTTAATATGTGTTCTCCAAACCCATAGGCTTGGCCAAAAATATTCCCTTTTGAACCCATTATAAACAGGTTCAGGGGCAGTCTACCTCCCCGAACGTGACTCTGCCCTTTGGCGGAGCCTCGTCCGGGTTCCTCTCTGCGTGAAGGCAGAGAGTTCAACTGTTTAGCTGGAACAGGTCGCAGCTAGTCCCTGTAGTTTGTTGACTTACAGATACTTATGGGGGTGACAGGTTATTCTATTACATCAATTTCTCATCTTGAAAACAATATAATTAATACATGATTTTGTCAGTCAGAATCAATCCATTTTTAGATATCATATCATCAAATATAGTTTATCAGCATCTATATTTAAATTATTTACATTTATATCTTTGTTGTTATTATCACAGCATTTCAGTCATTGTATCCTTTAGGCTTCTTCAGGTGCCTGTCAATCTAGGTGACCTTCTGAAATGAACTCTCTATTTAACCTACAGTGAATAGATTGTTCACTTTCTTGTTCAACTGTCTCAGGATATCTGATCTCATTCTTTTTTTAGTACTGCTGAATTATGGTTCACTTTGTTTCTACTTAGTCTGTACTATCTTAATTAGTAATTGTGAGTTCAATCCCTGGACTGGGTAATCATGTAGTACTAAACAAAATATGACAAGATATGCGTAGATTAACTTTTACTAAATTAATTGATTTCCAGAAGAATTTTACCTTTTGTTTGATTATTTAATCTTTCAATATTTTTTCAAATTATTCTTCATTCATTCAATAAGTCAAAGTGAATTTTATTTTTTGGCGATTTTTTTTTTTTTTTTTTTTTACCATAACCTCATAATTTGTCAGTTATAGTTTACAAAGTGAGTAAATATGATTTTAAGACATTCACTTCTTAACTATCATTGAATTTAATCAGTATTTTTCAGTCTGGTGGATGTGTGAGTGGGTGGCTGGCTGGCTAAAAGTCTTTCATTTGTTATCAAAGGAATGCAAAATTAACAAAAGGTTATGAAACACTTATAACATCATTTAATCCTTGGACTATTATACAAATAGTCATTTTTGTAATCCATTGAAGTATAGGCAGGACTTATTATACAAATATATCAAAATTTCCATTTACACTAATGATTATACATATAACAATTCTGCAAATTCTAGTGGGGGAAGGGGATAAAAAAAAAAAAAGAAGAATCTTAGTTTTATTTTTATGTTGATTGCATTTAGTTTTTTTTACAGAGGCCCTTTCACTTTTAAATTCACAACTGTCATTTTCTAATAAACTGCATGTTGTTCATTGAACACCAGAAAGAAATGCATTGTCAGTGGTCATGAATGAGTACAACCATTAACAACAGAATAGGCCTACCGTGCATATAATATAAATAATGTAAATTCATTTTTTTATGATTTTACTATAGATATCTATTGAAAAATCAGAAAGAAAGGGATTGTCATTGGTCAGGAATTTAGAAAAATATTATTGACAGAATATATGGGACTATTGTGTGTATAATGTTTAACGTATAGCATTGATTTCTGCAATGTGTTTTGTTTTGTTACAGAGAAAAATTGAGAAATCTTCAACTTGAAATTGAGTCCCTCAAGGCAAGGTTCAACAATGGAATGCCTTGGAAAAATGCCACAGTTATATCAAATTCAAAAAATGATGGATGTCTTGGAGAAATTTCTTCTACTGGAACCAATTTACCTTCTTCAAATTCAATAATGTTTTCACCTCCTCCAAATATTTATCATAACAACGTTCCTCAAGATATACTTTATCAAACTACAGTCAGATCTTCACCTGAAGACATTCATTGGAAGAATCCCTCTCCTATTGGTTCTTACAGAAGAATAAGCAATTTCAATAGTATTGATGCTTCTAATCCTACAAGAGTTAACAATTCTAATGCTGTAATGACATCACCAGAATCTCTAACACCATTCACAGTTCAAAACAGTCAAAATACTTGTGTCACTCTCCTTGATTATCATTCACCTGTATTACATAAAAAAGACCCTCCAAAATCATTACCCGCAAAATCTCTAGTATCATCAGAATCAGAACACAGATCAAATTATCCATTTTATTTATCAAATCCAAATAATAATTTACCCTCTGCCAGATCCTTTCAAGATATTTCACAGATACAAACAGATCCTACCTTACACGTGAAGCAAAGACAATGCAAGGTCTTAAGTCAATCTTCAGATTATCACCAGTCTACAAACAATCTTGCCCCAGAACCTGTTTGCTGTCCCTCCTATAACCAACTTGAAGATATCCGTTGTTTGAAAGGACAAACAGTTTTTAATCCACCTCATTACACTCACAATCCTTATAGAGTTCCTGCTGCTTTGTTACATTCAGATACATTCCAAAGACAATCAAGTTATAATCCTGTCCCTAATGCCATAAACAGAAATGCTACATTACAGTTCAGTCGAAATTGTAATCCAATACCTCATTCAGTAACACCAATTTGTGACATCTGCAGCATGTCAGGTTGCAGCCACAACTATGTTACTGAAGTTAATTACACACCCCCAGCACAAAGAGGGACCATCTCAGTACCAGCACCAACATATTCTGTTTATAAGTAAGTATTTGATGAATATTCTTGCACTGCAAACAGCTAAGAAACAAAATGGCAATTATTATCTCCATTTGTTACATAATTGATTTCAACAGAACCATTTCTTTATCATTTAAATTATTGATGTTTTTTTATTTCTCATTAAATAGAAACAAAGAATTCTGAGTAGACAATGAAATGAATTGTTTATTCATGCAATGATTCAACATTTTCTTTATTCTTGTCTATTATCTACCAATATTTAATCAGAAAAAAAACATTTTTCTTGAACCATTTCCATGATTCTATAGTTATATATGTATTTAATATTTTCTCTGAAGAGTTTACTTATATAGACAGGAGACACCAGATAAATGAGTTATCTGATCTTTAGAGAATTTATTTGCTTTATCTTAGACTGTTTCATTCAACGTCTTTGCTATAAAAGAAGGTTGAGTTTGAACACAGTGTTTTTGAAAAACATATTTCTGTATCACAGTAGTGGCTATAAATAGCTTTTGTCATATGATATAAATATCTTGTCATCAAATAATGTTCTTAGTGAATAGAACACATTTTTACTGAAGTTTAAACATCATTTTCATTAGCTTCAGCTTAATGTCAAGTCACTTTCTATTTCTAGAATTTCTTTTATGATTATTTAAAAATGATAATTATTGCTGAGATTAATTATTATTAATATATCATCACAGGTATACTACTATGGCTGGCAGAAAAGAATGCAGACAGGTCAAGGGAAACTACTCCATAACTAGCAGTTAATAGACTTGGCATTATCCCCTTTGTATACTTCTTTTTTTTGCTAATTTACATTTAATTAAGATTCATTTGGAAACCAGCATATGACTGAACTGGGAATTCATTTATTCATCAAGTTAGAGGAATTAAACAATATTGTACTAATAAAAATTGCACTACAATGTGCCATTTTTTACTGTGCTATTGTAACAAACATACAGAAATTGGATCATTATGATATACAGATACTGTTTTATGTTATTAATGGGTTTCAATCTGACATTATTTTTAGTATTATAAATGTTATTTTAATGGATATACATGTTTGAGCAGATATTTGTTTTTAAGCAGTGAAATTAATGTTCACTAGCCTAGATAACAGAAATTTTTATTAGAGAGAATGTAGCTCTTGGCAAGGATCAAATCTGTATTCCCTTTATCCTGGGAAACCACCTTTTAGCTAAGCATGCTTTAATCATTCAGCCATGGTGGTCTTTATAGCAAAACAAGGTTGCATTTGCCCCCTTTTATAAAATGCAAATCTCTCATTGGGAATTTCAATGACTATATCTGCTAAGTTATATATTCGTATCTAAAATGTAAACAGAAATTTTAAGTAATTAATGGATTTCAATCCAAAGCATAAAAATAGCATAATTAGAAATGAAACTTGAACTTTCTGCTTGTCTGGAATTTGGAATATTTAAAGCACACGTTGGATTTAGAAAGTAAAACTCATTAATGAATATTGGAAAATTACATGAGAAAAGGAATTTTTTCATAGCCAGTCTGTGTCCAAAATAAGATTGCAGTTGCATTGAGTATGAAGCATTCTTTATATTACCTTTCAGTCAGTTATCTGTCATACATGATACATGCTTAGGCAATCATGCATCTTTTGATACATGACTGACAAGGCAGATTTTTTTCCTGCAGTAGGTTGCCATTACATTCTGTGGTAGACCAGTTGCCATCCAACGCTATAGAACCCAGTCTGTCCTGCTATTTATCCATAATGGGCTGGGGGAGAAGAAGAGGATTCATACCTTTCCCAAGGGTATTAGCACATAAGTGAATGTAATGGATTCAACTGGAATTCGAACTCAGCTTTCTGATTCTTCAATCCAAGCTGCTATCCATTACTCCACTGTGCCTCCATATTACCTTTACCATTCTCAAAGCAATACAGAGTTCCTCCAAGTAAGAAAACTTGGCTGCCATCGGCTATTGATGGGTTATAATTATCTAAAATGTTTGGGCATTTTATATCATTAATTATTTAGGAATTAAGAATTACAAACAAAGATCTTATCTCTTTTTCTTCTTTTCATTAACTTTTGCCTGCTTTATTTTTATCTTGCAACATTGACTGACCTTAAAAAGTTGTATAATTCAACATATATGATGTCTGAAAACTAATAAGGAAAATTTAATGTTACCTAAATTTTTTTTAATTTACAGCAGCCAAAATATGTCTTTGGAACAAAGAAATCATTCCGACTACAGAAATTATCAGGTATTTTTCTCATCTTAGTAAAATAGTCACTGTATAATTGTAGAAGGAATATTGTTTCATTTTAATTTATACTAGTTTCAACCCATGAAAATTTCACGGTTTTCTTATTTTAAATTTCTGATGAATACTAATCAGTGAATAATCTCATGGCAAGTTCTACAATAATAAAATATCTGTAGTAATTCTCCTATTGCATTGTTAAATATCTTTTAGCTTAACAACTTTAACAAAATATTGCAATAACAATTATACATATGAATTCTGGTTATTTTTTAAAGAAGGGGTTACAAATAGAAAAATTTGAAATTGACAAATATTTTTCTATTTCACTGAAACAGATGTTAAACATGTCTATCTTCCCTTCTTTCTCTTCTCACTGAAACCAAGTAGCATTTTTGATGTGTTTTATGCCTTTCTACACAATCAAAACAGAATAATCTATTATTTATGATGTATTGGCAGGGGATAACGGTTGTGCAAACTAAGGAACTAATGAAGGAAAGAACAAGTACAATTATTATATGATATTTTATATAAAAGGATTGTTCCTAAAGTAATACTTCCTATTATGTTGACCTATGACATCAGAAGTCGATGTTAATATTATAGCAGTAAATGTTACACCTTCCCCATTAATAAATTGTTTTGCCTTCTGACAGATTGCAGTTGTGTGGCAAGTTCATGACATGATAGCATTTGACATGAAAATGCAGAATTGTACCTTTCAATTTCTATACGTAGAAAAATTTAATCCAGTTAGCATTCATTTGCTGAAATTTTACAAAAATCAAACAGTGGATTTGAGCAAAGTTAGGCAGTGATTAATGTATTTCAACAGAAGCGACAGCAATGTGTGATAAGCCAAGTTCTGGGTGACTTTGTACTTTTGTCAACCTACAAAATGAAGAGACATTGTTCATTATTGATGAAAATGCATAGTTAGTTGTAGGGATGATAAGAAAAAAGTGTTTTGTAGCTAGAATCTTTCTCTATTCAATCATCAGGTATTGATAATAATAAAGTTTTATCATCTTTTCATATTTTTTTATTTACCTAGGAAATAAAATAGCTTATCTTGTAAATTTAACATCCCTTTTTTATCCCTCTTCTGCCAATCATTCATTCAAAGTAGGTTACTTGTTGTCTTCCTCTGTTTCTTTTGCTTTCAGTATGTACTGTAAGTGCTAAATTCTCCAGGTCTTCTTTCCTCATTATGTACCCCCAAATTTTCTGCTGTCACTTTCTGATTGTAAGTGTTCAAATGGATCTTGATCAATAAACTGAGAGACAGCACTTCACCAAACAATAGAATATTTCACCCTGAGGAGAAATTTCACTAAACTTAAATAATGCCTAAAGATTAAACCCACTTTGATAGGATGGAGACAAGCCTGCTACTGCCACTGCTTAGAACACATTCATTAAACTGTGAGGAGTGAGAGTCTAATATCTTCAGGAATTTGTTAACCAAGAATGGTGAATTTAGTTCTAGGTAGGACCACAAGAGTCAGCATAGTTAACAGTGAATATAAGTTTCCTTGTTGTTCCTATTTTCCTTAAGACTTTCCCATTGTTCATATGTTCTGTCCATGTTATTCTCAGCATTGGTCAGTAGAACCACATCTCTGTACCTTCAAATTTCTTCTTCATTGTGAAGAAATTGTTCAGCATTCACTGCCATGTAGAACATTAGATTTTAAATAGCAGCTTAGCACTCTTTTCTTCTGTTCCTAATTTTATTTTCCTATGTTTTAATACTTTGCTTAGTTTCTGGAAGGAATCTTTCGCTAATCCAATGTCTCTTCAGATTTCTGTCACATCACCTGTCATCTGATACCACACAACCCAATTTCTCTTCCTGCTTGATTTTGATCTTGCTAATTCATGTTGGGCTTTCTCTTTTGTTGATGACTGTGCTTTCTGTCATTTTATAGTTTTCTTTTTTTCCACTACTTCTTTCATGTAGCATGCCCCATCAGGACTTGGGATATCATGGCTCTCCACAACTTCCTATCCTTCATAACTCCAGATAATATTTGTCCCTTTACTATTCCTTCTACTCCCTGTCTTGCCATCCATTTATACAATCTCTGTTAGATAGGTTACTTTCTGTTTCCCTCTATTCCTCTTACCTTCAATATGTCTTGTGAGTGTCAAATTTTTCAAGCCTTCTTTCCTCATTATTTGTCTCAACTCTCTTTCTCATTCTAAGTATCTTTCAAACTTCCTCAGTGTTAAATACAAGTAGGTCATTAATATTTGGTTGATACACAAGATGATTTCTTCTGTTTATATTTCAATGTTTTTTTAATCATCCTTTGTCTAAAACTACCAGAAAATTATCCAGATTTGTTTTTTGTAAGAATCAGCAATATTATCAGTCCTGATCTGGCACTTTCCCACCACCATAAGATTGCCTCCCTGTGTCTTTTCTATAAATACATTCATGGTAATTGTTAGGATGAGCCCTTCACTATGGTACCTAGACTTTTTAATTTAAATGCAGTATTAAACTGGCATCGAGTTCTCACCAATTTAGAGTTGAGCTGACTAGATGGAACCATAAATTTTATGCTAAAAGTTTCTTTTCTCACACTTCTCACTTGTAGAACTCCATTCCAGCAAACTTTAATCTTCAAAAAATTAAATGCAATGTCAATCACTATGTGCTGTCCTCTTGATCTTTTGTTCTTTCTCCCTAGTAATGTGTCATTCTTCCACCCTCAGTAACCCCCTCCTTGTGTCTTAGTCATTTCACTGCCTTGCATGGGGTGAAATCAATTAAAAAAAAAAAAAAAAAAAAAATTATTTTTAAAATGTGTAATTTCCAACATTTTATATTTGAAGATACATTATGATGATGGTCTTTTATTTCAGTTAGTGGATGGTGATTTGACGGAATCTATCAATTTGGCTGAGAAGACGATTGAAGACATCAACCATTTGACAAGGAAAATGATGAGGACCATGCATGAAGAGCTGATCAAATCAAAACGAAACTATGACATTTTTTATCATTTCTAATAATCTTGTCTCTGCTACACATTCTGAAATTTTATACTTATATATTTATTTATACTTACATTTATTAAAGAGCCATTTTGGACTGCATTGTCAGGATTTAACATCCAACAGAACATTTCATTGGGCAAGGAAATTACTTGGTGATACCTATCTCTTTAGGGTTGGTATTTACTAAGCTGAGTTAAATATGTTACATATCAAAATAAATAGAAATGAAACAAAGGATAGAAAATTATGTTGTGCTAATTTTTCAAATAAAGAGGGACATGCTACCCTTGAAAATCATTAATGTCCGTTAATACAAGATTATATCATCCAGGTAGACAGAAATAATGCCAGGACTGGACAACAGTTTATTTATATAAGTCATGTTCTTTATTTCCTTTTAGAATTTCATTATTCTAGTCTCTAGTTAACAAGTAAATTGTCTAACATTAACATGGCCAAAGATGAAAAAAGAAAATTCAACAAAAGAAAATATCTTTTGTTTTAATATGAATTCTTATCAAGTGATATAATGAATATTTTTAGAATTCCCATGTGACATATTCAATAAATTTGATTGTTTTCCTGTATGTGCTTCCATACATGTACTAAATATTCTAACCCTAATAATCATCCATTGTATATTTTTTCACTTGTATTTTATCCATCTCATTTCTTTTGCCTTTTATCACAAGGAAATACCATTTTAAAATGAATAACCTATAGAAAATGATTCATATGATAGGTTTGAGTAATATTAGGATCAACACTTCTAGTATATATTAAAAAAATGGTAGCATATCAGGTATTAAGGAAAAGAATGAAAGTTATATGGTTAGATTTAAGCTTCCATAACCAGTAGTCTTCATGGCCTAATTGCTGAGAGAAAATGAATTAAAAACCAATAAATAAAATAATAATAAAGAATAAAACAAAACAAATTAATTTTCCCATGATTTAAGTTATAAATAAAGGGTTTCTGATTTTATGACCCCACTTTCAGAAAGGACAGAATCTTTCTCTTTCTACTTTCTAACAATATCATTCAGACATGTTTTCAGCAGCAGCCCTACTCATGAAGTAGAGATTTGGCTATCCCAACTCAGTATGAGGCTGACTTGAGCTTGACCATCTTTACCCGTTCTTATTCTTACTTCACATACAATATTTCTGAACCAAAAAGGAAAATGGACATACTCAAGCAAGAGACATTTAACTTTATTACAATACAGTCGACATAAAACAAATAAAGTCTGTTGCAGAGACAAGTTTTTTTGTATGCTTTCTTCTATCTTCTTTGTTTATAAGGCAGCTGCTCTACACAGGCATGAGATTGAATCTTGTTGAGGTTTATTCTTTAATTCTGATCCTAACTGCTTACTAAGAAACACAGAATGGTAGCTTGAGACTTGAAATAAAAACCAAAAGAAGTGAGATAAAGAAAATACAAGTCAAAAATTAAACATGGATGACAGTACTTCATCTGATAAGTTTGAATAATATTACTTTGAATAATTTTTACTTTTCAGGAACAGGTGTAGATACATTAATATTATGTCAAGTTATTGCAAAGCAATATTATTTTGAATTTTCTTATTGTCAATCATTATTAATTTGTGACTCATATTTCTTTCATCTTTATTTTACTTGCTTTTTATTGGAATTACTCTGACTATCAGAAATAAAGAGGATTAGAAATAAAGTAGAAGATTTTGGTATGACTTGCATGGAAAATAACAAATAAAAATAGAACTAACCAATTGGGGGAAAAATAAGGAATAAAATTATATGATTAGAATTGATTTTATACCAACCATTAATCTCTTATAATTTAAAAAGAGAAACTGTCATGGTCAGATGAGCTTGCTGAAGTAAATGCGAATTCAAGTCTTACTGAAAGTTATTCTTTCTTTCTGATCTATGTTATAGAATGACAGTCTGTGATGAAAAGCAACTAAAATTAAGACAAGAAAATACAAATAAAAAGTTAATTTTTTTCAAAGTATTTCTATGCATAAAGTTATTTTCCATTTCATATACACTGTAGAATATGAGGAAATCAAAATATTAAACAATGTCTATACTCAATGATTTTTTTATTTATTAAAATTCAATGCTGTTTAATCAAATTGTTTCATGTATTTTTGAAACAAGGAACATTTTTTTGAGTGACATTTTTTTCCATCTTTTCATTTTTTTTTCATTCTGTTTTAACTTCTAATTGCAGATAAGCATTCCCAACCACAAATATATATTTAAAAACCTTAAAATTGAGATTTGATAGAATTTTATTATTTTTTTAATTGCCTATATCAAAAGCCATACATATTTTGTAGGAATTGTTCTTTCTTGTCTGGTACATCATATTAAACAGATTCCAATTGTAAAACAATCTTTTAAAAATCATATAACTAGTAAATAGAAAATGAAAACTTAACTTCTCTTTCTTAAAACTGAATAAAATAAAATACGTTAGATTTCAATTTATTTAAAACAAAATTACTATTTTTCATGACATAATTGAAAATTAATTTTAGCTAATATTTAGTGTCACTAGAATATTTTTATTCTTTTAATGGCTGATACTAACCACCAGGAGAGTGTCTCATTGCACTTTCTCACACTAACATTTTCTGCTGACATGAAGTGGAAAGATTATATTGAATCATTTGCTAGTGCTGCTGCTAGGAACGTTGATTCACTGTGTTGTGCTTGACAATTTTTCTTGCCAGAATCTATCTTACATATTTATAAGCCTGTATCTATTCATCCATGGCTTGAATATTACTGCCACTTATGGTCTGGTGTTCCTGCTATATATTTAGAGATCCCTGATAAAATTCAAAGAAGAATCTGCAATGTTACTGGTCCTGACCTGGTATCTCAGTTTCAGTCACTTTTCCACCACCACAATGTAACTTCTCTATGCCTTTTCTATAAATACTTTCATGGTAATTGTTCTGATGAATTTTCCTCTTTGGTACCTAGACTTTATGAATCTAAACACAGTGCTAGATTGGCAGCAAGGTCTCATCATTTTACAGTTGAATTGGCTAAATGTAACCATATGTTCTATGCTAACAGTTTCTTTTCTCACACTTCTCACTTGTGAAACTCTCTTCTGGCTTATTGCTTCCCAGTCAAGTTTGACGTTTAGAAATTTAAATGCTTTATCAATCATTATCTTTTACCTTCTTAATTCCTGTTCTTTTATTATTCTCACTCCTTAATAACGTTTTTCTTTTTCCTATATTCTCTCATATTCAGTAACCATCCCCCAAAAACCCCCACCTACATCTTAGTGGCTTTGTTTCATTGCTGGGGTGAAATGATTAAAACAAAGTAAAAGTCTGTGATTTACAAAGAACAGGATTTTACTTCAATAATCAAATCTTCTAAAATTGCTGTAAATTCAAATACAGACCAACTTCTGTTTTCATTAATAATCATTCAAGAATCAGTTTTTGCAACACTTTTAAATAATTAAAAAAAAAAAACAAAGAAATATAAGCATTAAATTTTGGCACAAAAAATAGATTTTATACTGGTACATGTTAATGAGTTTATTAAACATATTCTTTCCTTGTCATTATTGTTTTAGCTCATTTTATCAAATGCTGGTGTTACAATTTTGGTGTAAAATTCACAGGAAAATGTAATAAAATAAGTTTATATTTTACTGATCACCAATAAAATAAACTACATTTTCATTTAAAGTATTAAATCAAGCTTTCTTGACAACAAGTATGTGAGTTCTGTCTGGAATATATCCAGCCATTTTGAATACCTCAAGAACTGATAGCCGTATCTTGCCCACACTCTCCTTTAGGTTTACTTATTTGGCAAGGATATGCTATTGAATGAACTTGCTTAGAGTGTGAGTGATTAAGTAGATTCTTCATGTTTCTTGCAGTTATTTAGCTAAAACATTGCAGACCCAAGATCTATTACCTCCTCCCATGCAGATCTATTAGCTCCTCCCACACACAATTCAGATTTGGCACTGGTTTCTGATTTTCCAAAAGTTAAACTTACTCTTGAAATATCATGGAAAAGATTAACAAGGCAGATAATACCAAAAGAGAACTTTGCAGACTGTTTTGAAAAATGGAATATATACTAGACTAAATGCTTTAGTTTCCAACAGGGGGTAATTGAAGTGGACTAAGTGCCATTTCTCTGGGTAGGTTACTTTTACATTCATATCAAATGGCTGGATTATTTCTGAACACACCTTGAACACAAGCATTAAAACGTAAACAGCCAAAGTAACAAAATCTGTCATATTTACTTTCAGAATCTGTGATTTGTAACTATTAAAAGGAATCTGAAAAATTTGCTTTCCAAAAATTGAATTTTCTTTTTTGAATAAGAACACAACTTTAAAAAATGTTTCTGTGTTTTAAAAACTTTTACATTGATTTAATTCACAATACAAATTTAAACAAACACTTGAATATTAAAAATACTTTCGAATAAATGTTAACTTCTTCAGAATAAGAGCCATGAAATATTTTAAGGGATTACTTTTGGAATTGCATTAGATTTAAGCTTTTTTTTCCTCCCCTCATATATATATATATATATATATATAATGAAATGTATTAAGTCCAACAATTATTGATACATTTCTTTATATATTGTCATTGTTCACATTAAGATGTGTTTTGTGAGCAGATATAATTCATTTGATAAAAATCATCGAAGACTGTGTGTTTATAAACAGTAATTTAAACTTTGCTAACTAGATGCTTCTCTGTAGCTGAATAGTATAGCATGTCAAATCAAATGATAGTTTCCATATAACAGGTATTCAGGTTCGATTCCTGTTGAATAACACATATTTTCTACTTAATTTCTTGAACATTCAGGCCAGTAAATGTGATTAATACTGTTTAATTAAAAATATAGCATTTATTTTAAATAAATTGTATTTATAAAAAAAAGTATAAACAGAAAATATATATATATATATATATATATATATATATATATATATTTATATAAAAGATTAA